AAAAAAAAAAAAAAAAAAGCTGCTTCCTGCTGGGGGGAACTTGGAACTCTGGACGGTAAGTCACACACACCAAAACCAGCCCACTTTGAAAATCTTAAAAGACTCATAAGTAATAAATGAAATAATAAGAATCCTACTGAATCATCTTGCCTTAAAGGGCCTTAAAGCAAAAACCCTAGTACTTTTGTCCAACTCTCCTTTTCAATGTGTAAGTTTAGTCACTCTGACAGTTAACCTACACATCCTCATCACTCTGTATCTTTCCTAGAAGTTGCTTATTTGAAGTCAGAAACTAACTTAGGAAAAACTTCACAGAAACCAGGCTGACTTCAACCAACATACAGCTATCTTTGGGAACAATATTTGGGTTTCAGACCAAAGCTCTCTATATGAGATCCACTCTCCATTTTTCAGACAACAAAATCTTTAGTTTGTGTCCTAGTCAGAGTAAGTGAATAAGTAAACAGAGTAGGTTGCCTTTAATGCACATGATGTCAGAGGCACTAAGATGCCTAACCCCCCATAAAAATACCTTTCCCACCTCCTTAATTATGCCTGAAACTATACACAAACCTATGCTGCTAGAGTTTCATGTGTTTGGAACAAAACTTTCTGAAAGCTTGACTGAAAGGCAGAGATAACTGGGAGCAGTATAACTGTATCTAATTCATTTAATCAAACACCAATATAAAACTCATATTTCTGTAGTCCCTGAGAGACTTCACTCATTTACATTCTGGAGTTAAGAGTTTATCAGGCCCCTTCCTAAGAACAGGCTGAGAAGGCAGAAGGAACAATTCTTAAGCATTGGGGGAAAAAAATTGCAGAAGTGGAGGAGGAGAGGAGGCAACTGCTTCTTGCAATGAACTAAAAAATTGTCTTGCCCTAGAACTGATTATTTGGATACTAATGCCCAGAAGACAGACTTTCTGAACCTGCCTAGATTCTAGAATCTCCTAGATTTATCTCTTCAAAATCAGTCCCAGATTACCTGGTACCAAAAGCCAAGGTTGAGAAACCTTGCCCTGGAATCTTGCAAACTGGACCAATAACTTCCCTAAAATTCAGACCTATAAGTGCAAACCCTAAGCCGCTAGAAGAGTGCCTCAGATCTACTTCACAATCGCTAAACCCCAGGACCAGCTATAAGGATCAAACCAGCCACAGCAGACAGCAAAGGAGCACTCAGGGGAGGACTCAGATCCAAACCCTACCATTAGGTGTTCCACAGGGTCAGTGCCCAAAAGGGGCCAATTCTTCAGGAAACAAAAGTCTGGTTTAATGCGTACCTTTTCTTTAGCCTTTAAAAAAATTAATTAAATAATTAACGTGGAAAAACTAAATCCCAGAGAAATTAAAGCTCTCCTTTCCCCTATCTCACTTGGTTTTGAAGCTCACTAAAGGTACATCAAAAGTGGGAATTAAAAAACAAAAAAGAAAGAAAGAAACTCACTAAAGGAAATACACTCCCCAAGAAAATCAGCTCTGAACATCCTCTCTCTTGTCATCATGCCATCACTTCAAATACCTGAAATTCGGAGCCCTGATTTGTCCACCCCTGCAGACCACATTGTTAACGAGCAGAAGAAAAGAAAAAGCAGGACTTACCATATTTGTTAAAGCAGAGAAAAAACCACTTTGGTGTTCTTCTTCCTTGTCTTTATACTGCCTAAACAAAAATAACTAAATTCAACTTTAGGATTTTTTTTTTTTTTTTTTTTTTTTTTGAGACGGAGTTTCACTCTTGTTACCCAGGCTGGAGTGCAATGGCGTGATCTCGTCTCACCGCAACCTCCGCCTCCCGGGTTCAGGCAATTCTCCTGCCTCAGCCGCCTGAGTAGCTGGGATTACAGGCACGCGCCACCATGCCCAGCTAATTTTTTGTATTTTTAGTAGAGACGGGGTTTCACCATGTTGACCAGGATGGTCTCGATCTCTTGACCTCGTGATCCACCCATCTCGGCCTCCCAAAGTGCTGGGATTACAGGCTTGAGCCACCGCGCCCGGCCTAACTTTAGGATTATTTATCAAGTATGTCTTTGTCCTTGGCATTTTGGGTAATCAGGGTGGAGCACTCTTAGAATTCTCTGACTCCAGAAAACTAAAGCATTGTGGCAATCAAGCATTGAGACAATCCCTGCAAGCTAAGAGGCACCCTGTCTGCTCTTGAGGTAGTGTGTGCCAAAATCGCTAGCTACTTTGGGAGAGACTTAAAAAAGCAAGCTGCAGGTCAGGTGTGGTGACTCACTCTGGGAGGCCAAGGCAGGCAGATCATGAGGTCAAGAGATTGAGACCATCCTGGCCAACACTGTGAAACCCTGTCCCTACCTACAATACAAAAACTAGCTGGGTGTGGTGGTGGGCACCTGTAGTCCCAGCTACTCGGGAGGCTGAGGCAGGAGAATCGCTTGAACTCAGGAGGTGGAGGTTGCAGTGAGCCAAGATGGGGCCACTGCACTCCAGCCTGACAGCAGAGCAAGACTCCATCTCAAAAAAAAAAAAGAAAGAAAGAAAAGAAAGAAAGCTGCAGCTGGGCGCAATGGTTCATGCTTGTAATCCCAGCACTTTGGGAGGCTGAGGCAGGCATAGCACGAGGTCAGGGGTTTGAGACTAGCCTGGCCAATATGGTAAAACCCCGTATCTACTAAAAATTTAAAAAAAAAATTATCTGGGCATGGTGGCTCATGCCTGTAGTCCCGGGTACTCAGGAGGCTGAGGCAGAAGAATCACTTGAACCTGGGAGGTGGAGGCTGCAGTGAGCTGAGATCACACTACTGCACTCCAGACTGGGTAACAAGAGTGAGACTCTGTCTCAAAGGAAAAAAAAAAAAAAACAAAAAACAGAAAGAAAGCTGCAAAATTGTGAAACTGCCCTAACATACAGCTGATCCAGTTATTTCTCCAACATCTCCAACAATCTATTACTTGAAAAGTGTGACAGTAAATCTACTTTAAGGCTAGAACACTGAAAATCTTGTTTCTTTTTAAAGGAGGACGAAGGAAATCAGTAAACTAAACTCTCTGCAGATATGAGACAGATTTGAAGTTCTGATACCCAACTGTGTGTGAGAAAAGTCTAGAGAGGAACATGAAAGATCTGCCTGGCCCTTGCCAGGATTAGGGATACTTCTGTTTTCCATTCACTAATGTCAGATCCTTCCAGCAAAAGGGAAAGCAAGTTCAATGATGGGAGTCCCCAAGAGAAACAGGGACTCTGGGAAGTTGATAAAAAAGTCACATCTGCAAAATAGGACTACCTTAATATACTTTCTTCTTTTATATATTTTTTAAGATAAAAAAAAAATTATCTCCACAACCTTTTTGACATAGAAAATACATGTATGATACATTGGACTAAGAAGTGACCACTTGTAGCTGGAAGACTAGATAAAATGCTCTGTAATAAAATACCAGAAGTTGCAAAGGAATGTGCCTAATTGCCTAAACTAAAGAGACACCAATGCGGTGGCTACTTTTCCCCTGTTGTTAAAAACAATCCCTGCTAATCCCAAGCAAAGCTAGAGCAAATATATCGGCCAGGGGCTGTACCTCTGAATACTCTTAGACTAGGTAAGGCAGTTTTACCCAAGAACTCTAATAAAACTCTAACAACCAATTCAAATGAAAATTAGACCCCCTTCCATTTTGGAAAGGTGAACTTACCTGTTGTACTCAGATAAAGCCTGAGCAATTACAAGCCCCATTCCCTAGAAGGGAAAAGACAGCACAGGTGAAATAAGACAGCAGCCTTTAGGGGTTGGTGATGATGCTAGAACTAGGTCGGGAAGAACATTAGCCCAAGAAGTCCTGACTGAAAGTTGGCAACAAGGACAGAAATTCTGAGATGCACTGTCAAAGCATCAAAAGGAGCTTCTTTGGGAAGATTTTTCTTATCTAATTATCTTAATGTTCCCAGGTACAATTAAAATGGATTATCAAGACGTGAAACAGACCAGCCCACATTATTGACAATTTCACTGGGATCATTTTCCCTTTGAAAGAGAATATCCAGTTAAACAAAAAGCCCTCAGATGTCTCCAAAACAGCCAGGCAAAATGACAATGAGTCCATGCTAAATGAAGGTGAACATAGATAAGCCACTTTCTTTCAGGCCACAGGAATGTAAAGGGAAGTAGCATTAAGTAAATGTTAAAGTGACTTAACTTCCCCCAGAAAGTTGGGCAGGATGGAAAGGGAATAAAGCAAGACACAGGTCATCTTATTCCTCCCTATATTCAGAGATCAGATGTAATTTCCCAAACTTTCAAGGATATATATAGCAGATATAGATCATCCCCATGTTTCCACTTCACCAAGTCAGGCTATAAATACTGCCTGGCTAGTTCTGAAAGAAGGAATCTCCCATCATTTAGTCATCTAAGCTTTCTTATTCTTGAAAGTGTAATTTATTGACTTTGTAGGATAATCAACTTCAACACACTGTAACACGAAACGTAAGACAGTAAAACAGTAGCACTGATGCACTAAAAAGAAATATTAATTCCCTCTCTATAACCACATGAAATTGACAGGATAGCTTTCTGTTCTCTGTTCTAAATGTCCACTAAAAGTAATGCCACTGAATGCAAATAAGTAAGGCAATACACAAGGATCCAGATACTCACATTGAGTGTGGCCTCATCATCCACAATAGATAGCTTCACAATATAAGGATTCACAGACTGTTAAATAAGAGAAGAGACTCCAGGTAAGTGTGACCTAGTTAAGAAAGCCCATTAGCTATCTAAAAAGTGTTAACAGAAATGCCCTCTCTCTACAGCAATGCTCCTGATACACAGCCCCAATCCATATTGCCTGCTGACCCCTCCCATTTCCAGTTAATTTCTCAGTGTGTATGGGCATCCATCAAGTGTACACACAGATACATACACATACCTCAGTTCTGTTCTACCCATATTTTTCCTTAGGTGGAATCAGTGCACGCCTATGTCTAACACTTCTACCATCTTTCCTCTTACTTGCATCTAGAAAGTAAGTGAATGCTCCACAAAACTCACTTTGTCCTACCCTACCAATAATTTGCTAAGTCCATAGGGATAGCTGTCTTTTGGGAGACATAAAAGCTTCTTGCCATAAGGCACATATTTACAAGTTGCTAACTTACATTTTCATCCCAAAGGCTCCCTAACCATTTCACAAACTATATGCAAGGACTGATTCACCCACCCGTAAAACAAAACCACCTTGGGGTGGAAAGTGGCAGCTGCTTAACAGCCAGAGAGGCCATTTATGGAGATCTGATATCCAAATCACACTGCAGGGGGAACTGAAAAAAAGAATGTAATTATCCAAACAACAATCTGGTCAGAACACTGGGATTTAATGATTGTCCCATCACTTACAGCACTGGAAGAGTTCTTGAGTTATTCCAGACCCAATCTCAGTTGGGCAGCATAAGAAAATGGACATATATTTAAACTAATAAAGCAATTGGACCATCTCCTACAAGGGGGATGAGAACAAATGACCTTTCCTTGCACCTGTAGGATGTGAGGAAAGATTTCATATAGATCAGGCACCAAATCTAATCTAAGAGAGGCAAGGAACAATAGTTCTCAGACTGGCAGTTTCTACAGCTACCAAAAAACTCATTACTGAGAAACTTGAAAACCCACTGAAAGGCTCATTCCCCACACAGACCTATTTAACCAAGCTTCTGAGGGCATCTTTCGCATGTCAATTGGGAACAGAGAACGAGACAGCTTTGCTTTCTTAACAGCCCAAATGTTTGTAAGGTTTAATGCAACACAACTTAAGGTGTAAACCCGACTCCATTTGTTACTTGATCTGACAGAAGGAAGGCTCTCAACACTTCTTCCTATAACCAACAGTCAAATTCTGCCAATTCTACAGACCTCAGAGAAGATCCCAAGCAAGTGAATCCTCAGAAAAGAAAATCAAGCAAAATCAGCTGACTTAGAGATTCTGCCATGATGAGAGTAACACTAGAAAGAGCAGATCACTATTTCTTGGCATATTTTTTTAAAGTTCTGGTCACTCATCTTCCCAAAAGTAGACTGTTTTAGGGTTGTTGTTTCTTTCTTTTTTTTTTTTTTTAAGATGAGGTTTCCCTCTTATCGCCCAGGCTGGAGTGCAATGGTGTGATCTCGGCTCACTATAACCTATGCCTCCAGTTCAAGTGATTCTTCTGCCTCGGCCTCCTGAGTAGCTGGGATTACAGGCATGTGCCACCATGCCCAGCTAATTTTGTATTTTTAGTAGAGACAAGGGTTTCTCCAAGTTGGTCAGGTTGGTCTCAAACTCCCGACCTCAAGTGATCCCCCCACTTCAGCCTCCGAAAGTGCTGGGATTACAAGTGTGAGCCACTGCGCCCAGCCTGTTTAGCTGTTAATCAGGGTCATCTGATTTCCAAGCAAAGGTCTGCATTCTAGTTCTTCTGCTTATTGTGACAAATTAGGCACATTAAGCTAAGTTTCTATTTCCTCATCTGCAAAATGAGGATACAGGTTGCGTATCTCATCTAAAATGCTTTAGGGTTGGTCATGGTGGCTTATGCCTGTAATCCTAACACTTTGGGAGGCCAAGGTGGAAAGATCACTTGGCCCAGGAGTTTGAAACAAGCTTGGGCAACATGGCAAAACCCTATCTCTACAAAAAATTAAAGAGTTAGCTGGGGCCAGGCATGGTAGCTCACTCCTGTAATCCCAGCATCTTGGGAAGCTGAGGCAGGTGGATCACCTGAGGTCAGGAGTTCAAGAACAGCTGACCAACATAAAGAAACCCATCTCCACTAAAAATACAAAAATTAGCCAAGGGTGGTGGCGCATGCCTGTAATCCCAGCTACTCGGGAGGCTGAGGCAGGAAAATCGCTTGAAACCAGGAGGCGGAGGTTGCAGTGAACCAAGATTGCACCACTGCACTCCAACCTGGGTGGCAGAGCAAGACTCCACCTCAAAAAAAAAAAAAAAAAAAAAGTTAGCTGGGCATAGTGACACATGCCTGTAGTCCCAGCTACTCGGAAGGCTGAGGTGGGAGGATCACTTGAGCCTAGGAGGTCAAAGAGTGTCATGTTGGTATTCAGAAAGTTTCACATTTGGGGGCATTTTGGATTTCAAATTTTCAGATTAGAGATACTCAACCTGTATTTTTTATGCTGTGGTTGCTACAAGGTTTAAATGAAGTAAGACACATCAAATCTTTAGCACACTAGCTGGTACACACTAAAGGCTCAATAATTGGTATAGGTAGCTATATTTTTTTCTCCTTTTACATTATTATCACATTCAAAGGCAAGCTCTTTAGGAAAAAGAGAAGTGTGGGGAGAAAAGGAACAACCTGCAATTAGACATAATAAACGGTATGGTAATTTCTGAGAAATGTCATGCTCTGGGAAACAGTTGGGATCTGAGTCACTTCATCTCAACAGGCTTGGCCAGCCTAGAAAACCAGGATCTTAACGTTGTGAAAATTTCTATTTTACCAGATGCTGATTTTTAAAACTATATACCTGTTGTGCTGGTCACTTTTTTAAACTGGAAGTAATCTACTTTTCATCCGTAAGACAGAATTACAAACTCTGTGAGTCTTCACAGTAGCACTCTAATAGGGTCCTGCCTTTATTTGATCAAAGCTACACATACTATTTTTCATTGCTCTTCCCTAGACCTTTTTGGGGGGCTCTTCTGTCTCTTTAGATGAAATTATTAAAATAGAACACATTATTTGAAGTGAGGAAGAACTACACATTTACTACATGGTATCTTTTCCATCACTTTTATTCCTTAAGTCCAATAACATCTTCACTTTGTCTTTGCTTAGTTGGGTACCCAGCCTCTCTGTGCCTCAATACCTTTCCAGTAAGGTTAGAACTTATCCCACTGGTCAAGAGATTGATGGCTAGAATGCTTTTCTCCCCTGCACAGTCTCTCATGCTAGTTTGCACAGAATTTCACCAGCTTTGGTTTTGCCATGTTCATCTGGAATTCCTCACATTCCTGTCAAAAATCTTCCTGCTCCATGATCACTAGGCTTCCTTAATGGTTTCTGGTGAATGATTTATATCAAAAACTGCAAAGCCCAGATAAATTAGGCCCACAAGCTCACCCTTGCCCACTATATTAATTATTCTGGGGGCTTCTGAAGGACTAGAGATGCATACTTCATTCCAGAAATATGATTCTCTCCAGTTCCTTGGCCATGTCCAATATTTCAGGCTGACATTTCAGAGAGCCCTACGGAGCTGTGCCAGGATTCAGATCACAATCAGCGAAGCCAGGCCATTGCCTCAGAATGGCCTGCATCCAGCAGAATGTTCCGAAAATATTCATTACTGATGATAGTGTGTTCCTATCACATATAACCCTCACCTCTCTTTAACTATCCTCAGCATTTTCCACAGCTATTTTTCTGGCTGTTGTAATGAGGCCCCAGAGGCTATTACACATGACAGAGATCAAAATGGCTACCATGCCAACCCCTCCAGATCATGAGTAAAACAGGTGTTGGGAATAAATTTCGTATTTATTAGGAGCTCTATACACATTCATCAGTTCCTCCAACACAATAAAAGCAATCAGATCTTGGAATTTAAAACACATTAACATTGTTCTGCATATTCTAGTCCCTCTTTAAGTATTCCTTTCTCACAACCTCCCCTGCTTTCGTATCTCTTCTTATAAGAATCAGTTCCAGGTTCGAGACCATCCTGGCTAACACAGTGAAAACCTGTCTCTACTAAAAATACAAAAATTAGCCGGGTGTGGTGGCACGTGCCTGTAGTCCTAGCTACTCAGGAGGCTGAGGCAGGAGAATTGTTTGAACCTGGGAGCAGGGTGCAGCGAGCCAAGATCACACCATTGCACTCTAGCCTGGGTAACATAGCGGCTCCGTCTCAAAAAAAAAAAAAAAAAAGAAAGAAAAAAGAATAAGTTCCAGATTTTGTGTTACCCCTCACTTTCAACCTGGCCAAATAAAGCCTACCTAGGCTTTATCATATCAAAAATCACTAGGTGGGCTGGGCAAGGTGGCTCACATCTGTAATCCGAGCACTTTGGGAGGCCAAGGCGGGCAGATCACGAGGTCAAGAGATCGAAACCATCCTGGCCAACATGGTGAAACCCTGTCTCTGCTAAAAAAAAAAAAACACAAAAAATTAGCTGGGCATGGTGGCTCGCGCCTGTAGTCCCAACTACTTGGGAGGCTGAGGCAGGAGAATTGCTTGAACCCGGGAGGTGAAGGTTGCAGTGAGCAGAGATCACGCACTGCACTCCAGCCTGGCTGGCGCCTGGCGACAAAGACTGTCTCAAAAAAAAAATCACTAGGTGGCCAGAAGCTCAAAAAGGAAAATCCTCTGTCCAGCTGGCTCAATTCTCACAGTGTTGCTACTTATTAAGTGAACAAAGTCAGGTTGCCTCAGTGAAACTCCTGACTTTTGGATTCAGCAAAATGCTCCCAGTGCCCAAACTCAGTGCCAAATGCTTCCTACTCCTCAAAAGCCATCTCCAATGAAAACCCTTGTCTTCCTTGAGTGGTCCCCTTCCTTTTCTGCCTATTCTGCCTTTTGAAGAAAATCAAATATATGTGCCAATCCAAGTATAAATCTTTAGATTCTGCTCTTCATCTCTTCATCTAAAAAACCTATAAATCTGCACCCTGATTAATTCAGGGGCAAAAAGAACTCCCAAACTGGTATAAATAAGG